CACACACACACACACACACACACAGAGGGTATCAAGCCCGATTTGCTGGCACATACATGCACGGAAGTCTGAATGTTGAGTATGTCGTAAGGGAAAGATGATCGCATTTCCTTTTTCCACTTTTTGTGTTTTTTCCCGCTTTCCTCTTTCATTGACTTCACGAATATGCCGTAAGAGAGAGAGATTATGACATTTCTTTTTTCCACTTTTTCTGTTTTTCTCGATTTCCCTCTTTCATTGATTTCAGGATTTTTTTTTTTCACCTTTGCACTGTCGAACATCACTATGTGCCTCCCTCTCTCTCTCTCTCTTTCTCTCTCTCTTTTTCTCTCTCTCTTTCTCTCTCTCTCTTTCTCTTTCTCTCTCTCTCTCTCTCTCTCTCTCTCTCTCTCTCTCTCTCTCTCTCTCTCTCTCTCTCTCTCTCTTGAGCAACGGCAATCCTGGTCTGAGAGGCAGTCACGTTCGTCACCGACATAGCACTCTGTTTACTGCACCATGATGCATAAAGAGCCCGAAAATAAAAAAGAAGAAAAATATACCAAACTCAGCAAACTGCATAAAGAGCCCGAAAATAAACAGAGTTTTGGCTCACTTCTCAACCTGCCCACATGATACGTGGCATGTGATCGATTAGAAGGGGAAAAAAAAAGAAAAAGATCCCAAACTGCTTGGTTGTCACGCCCTGCATCCCGTTAGGCCTTGATTCCAGCACTCACCAAATGTGCAAAAGGAGAACGAATCTCCCGCTAGAAACTGGGAACATGCAACGCTATTTATTTTTTGCTATTTTCTTCATCAGCACTCACCAAGTGTGCCAAATGACAATGTATTGCCCACTAGAACCTGGGAAAATGCAGCGCGATTTTCTTTTCCTCCTTTTCGGTCGAACATAAGAAGGAACACTTTTTTTTTTTTCTTTTTTTTTTTTCTTTTTCTTTTTTTTGGATAGCCTCCTGAGTGCAGCACTTTAGGGCATGCTCAGACTATGATTCTTTACTGGGAGACAGAAAGAGGGAAAAAATTCAAAAAAAAAAAACAACAAAAAAAACTGCCCGCCCTGCCATTACCCATGGCATATCACACATCTGCCAAGCATGAACAACCCCCTCTTCGTTTCTGCCGGTGCGACCCACATATCCCATCAACCATTGAAATAGTCAAAAACAAAAAGCCGAACATCCATTGACTGCTGGGGCTGACTTCACACGTGGCATTTGATCACGAGCGCTCGCCCCATCTCCTGCCTGCAGTTGTCACTCTGTTGATGCCATCTACTGTGTCCTCTCTCTCTCTCTCTCTCTCTCTCTCTCTCTCTCTCTCTCTCTCTCTCTCTCTCTCTCTCTCTCTCTCTCT